TGTGGCATCATTTTTGTGGTGTGTAGCCACTCTGCAGTTCTGCAAATGCATAATCTCTCTTGATATTGTTAAAGGATACACTAAAGGTTTAAATTCTTATTATCCGAGGTAAATTGTAAAGTTATTTTGGATCTTTAGTATCAGTTTTAACCTGGATCTAAGGACAATAATAAAGCAAGATCTTTTTTTTTCTCTTAGGTACTTAGATTTAACTTTGTTTGCACTCTTCCAATACAAGTGAGAGACATGGCAGATGAATGTTGGTGGCACCAACACATTAACTTACCAGATCGCATGGCCTTGAGGATCAGGGTAGTTATCATATTGAAATATTAAGCTAAATCACATAAGTGCTGCTTTGGCTTTAATGTTAAATCTGTGATTGTCATATTCCCGTGTCCTTTAAGGTCCTGGGCTGCCATCTGTACATTCAAGTAGTTAAATCCCTGGAATTTTGTGGTCACTGTTTTGTGAACGGTAAGCCACAGGCTCTCACATGGCCTGAGAGTACTGGCTCTGATCAGGCGTCCCTTAGACCTAGCACACTCTTCGCAGCGCATAGAGGGATTATGGAGGCAACCAGCATTTTGCATTTTAATGCTGAAAAAGGCAAAGGCTGATTAACGGACTTAAAATAGATGAACCTGTATCCTGCAGTCTATCCTGTATCGTCATTCTTTGTAGGTTTCTGGTTTAACTGGTATTTCCAGAAGTTAGGAGAGGTCTGTATGTAAAAAGGATTAATATTATGTTGTTAACAAGTAAGAATGCAAGAATTGTTGCCATTCTGGTCCTTTGTGCTTGTTTTCTAGTTCACTAACTTAGTGAATACAAAATGTAATTGAGCTGTTTCTTGCCGTTCTAGACACCATTAGCTGTTTCACTTCAAATGGAAAAATGGAATTTCCAATATAGTTTGTATTCAATACCCAAGTTATGTCAGTTATCAACTCTTCTTATCACCTCAGCTGAGAAAGAGCTGGGGCAAGTTAGGATTTGTGCACACAGTGCTCTGACTTACTTACCTGTGAGAGCTTTCACAGCTCTTATCATGCTACAGTTTCCACACAGTCCTGCAGGAGTTTGTGCTCTGCAAGCACAGCAGTGCATCTTTAGATAAAATCACTGCCAGCTTGCAGGTGCCTTGCAGGTCCCCATGAGTGGCTAGTACTGTATGTCAGACCCTGTCAAGCCCATCCTACTCTTCCAGGGACCGGGCTGGTGTGCAGTGTTCCCAAGACATCCAGATATTGACAGACATGAGCTGGGAATGACTGTCCTTTAGTCAGAGTTAGAAGGGTATGGGAGGGAGTTATAAACCTCAGTGCATTGGGTTTTAATATAATGTCAGGACAGTGTGCCTGACCAGAGGTCTTCATTTTTCAGCCTTTCTATTCAAGCCTATACAAATTGTACTATTTGGACCGTGTAAAAAAAAAGTCAGCATGGCAGAGGCCCTTCTACTGAGCTCACTCACAGTGTTGACTCTCTGCAGGGCCCTTGAGCAATTATGGATCAGCTGAAATGAACACTTGCCGTGTTCTTTTGTTTTTGTGTGGCAGAGGCTCCCAAACTGGCCCATGAAACTTTCAGAGCAATAAAACCAGGGCTGTCTGCTTATGCTGATGACCCGGACAAGGTAATGCAACCTCTGGTTTGCCTGCAGTGTTCTCCAGTGTTATTGACTTGATTAGAAGTTAAAATGATTTTTAATGAGTTAAGGCAGCCCTTTACAGATGGATAATAGTAACACAGTAACATAGTAACAGAATGCTAAAAAGCAATAGTTACAGTACATTGCTAAATATATACCAACCTATAAAATCTATCGGTTTTGAGTTATTCTGAAATGTATTCTAAGGACAACAAAGATTTTTTTCTTTTATTTTGGCATTTATTAGGGTACAGTGAGGGTGACGCCTAAGTAATAAATTATCTTTTTTTAAACTTGCTGAGTGTTCTCTTTGGACAGTATAATGAAGGGTGTTGTTTTGGGATTTGAGAGCGGTGAGTGCTATTTTTGGCTAATCCGCAGTGTACAGCTGGGCTGCAGGAGCTGCTGGAAGTGGCTAAAAGCAGCGTTCCCTGCGTCCTGTGGAAAAGCACTCCTTTGGCACTGAAGGCAACAGCTGGGCTGCGTCTGCTTCCTGGAGAAAAGGCCACCAACCTGCTGGATAAGGTGGGGCCTCTCACACCCTCGCTCTTAATATGCCTTTCTGTTTCAGTTGCTACTTTTAGACTGTTAGTCATTGAGTCAATTGCAACAAACCAGGAGCAGCATACTAACTTGGGATGACCCTGTGGTTAGTACACAGCCCTCTTCTGTACTTAACATATTTTCAGTTGCAACAAATCCAAGGTAACAGCTGCTGCCCTCTAGAGTGCAGCTCGTGCTGCTGCAGACGAAACAGTTCTGTACTGGACTAAGCAGAATGCTGAAGCACAAGGGGACGTTCTGAGTGTAGTAGCAGCTTATTAGTGAAATAATATTGTTAATAAATAATGATTTAAAGCATCAGTCGCTGTGAAATTTATTGTAATAATCAATTAATTAAAATTGCGTTCTTGCTAATCACAGTTTAGTAAACCTCATGTCCTAATCATTAAGGAAGGTACAGTATCATCAGCCCTTGAGATACTAATGCACATAGAGCATGAAATATGCCATAGCGAGCTTTAAAATATGTATTCTGTGGAGGTAAGCAAACTGAAGGTAAGGTAAATGTTTATAATTGAAAGGGACATGACTCTTTAGTGTGTCCAGCATTTGCTAGCTCTCACTTAGACAAGCAAAATGCTGTTGTAAACTTCCAAAAGCACTGTCAATGTGGGTAAATGGTTCTCTGGTGTACTTTCATGTTGTCTCCTCCACTCATTCACTTAAAAGAATCATGATCAAAAAGTGTATGGCTAAAAAAAAAAAGTTCCAGTAGCTTAATTTCAGTAATTAATTGTCCTTAAGCTGTAGTGGCCCAACTACCCTGATTCACAGACATAAATTAGAAAAACTCACAAAGTGGAACAAGGGAGCACATGAAGAGCATAAGGTTTACCTTTATAGAATTGTGTGGACATAAATATAGCCTATAATAAAAACACATTAACAGTGAGTACTCTTAACAGTGAGGCATCTAAAGTGTCTCAGTATGTCTCTATCATTTATCAATGAAAAATTGTGCTTCATGGTCTCATTCAAACCCACAGCAACATTTGTGTTGCCTTGAAATTTAATAGAATATCACACGGGTAACTGGGTGCCCTCATCTGGATTATTTTAACAGATTTCTGTGTTAAAAGCTAACATTAATTTCTCAGGAACATTCAGTTATATGTATATGACAACGTGATAATTATATATTAATGTTGGACCACATATTATCTTACTGGTCTGAATAATTAAAGTATTCTGAATCAGAGCCATCTTTAGTTACTGCTTGAACAGCAGCCCAGTCCCCAGTCCCCAGTCCCCAGTCCCCAGTCCCCAGTCCCCAGTCCCCAGTCCCCAGTCCCCAGTCCCCAGTCCCCAGTCCCCAGTCCTGTACTAAAAACAGGATCAGCTGGTCTCCAGCTTTGTTCTGCTGGATTGTTCACAACTGGGGATGATCCCTAGATAGTACTATACTAGCTAATACTCTTACAATACTGAACGTTGTGTACCAGTAAAATCTCTACTTTTTAAGAGTCAAGTGCCCCATACAGTCCTCTCTGTTCCAGTTAAAGAAAGACTGGGCTTTCAGATCTATACAAGTATGAAGTTCCCCTTTGTTGCTTAATTACATGTGAAACTGACATTCTGTCTTTCTATTTTGGTGGGTCTGTGCACGAAACAGTAAGATTGATGAAAACTGTGCTTTGACCACTTTCTTTGTTTCCAAAGGTGAGAGAAACCTTCAAAGCATCACCCTTTCTGACTGGAGAAGACAGCGTGTCCATAATGGATGGCATTCACGAAGGTACAAGTTACTTAAGCTTGTGTGCCTAATACATACTCATTCAGGGACCTGTTGTTCTTGCAAATGGTGATGTAGTCTTGATAGTGTTAAGGAACACTTTGCAGCTTATCCTCGTGGGTTTTCTGGTTCTAGTGACATATATTTACAAAGATCTAAAGATGTCATTTTGATAAACCTGACTATGTGCTTGTCTCAGTGCATCCTGGAGTTACTGTTCTGTTGATGCTTGGTTAATTAGGTGGACAGGAAAGTCCACCTTTGTGCATGTATATAGCATGGATAACTACAGTAGTAATCACCTGAACAAATTAGTCACAGATCTTATTTATAGCTCTTGACCCACTTTGTTGCAAACTACATTTGATAAAGTTGGGAAAAATGCATAATGGATGAAGGTGATTTCAGTAAGAATGCTGAAGCTTAATGGCCAATCTTCTTAACTGTCTGCTACAGTACATTAAAGCTAACTTCCCGTCTTTCCATAACCTGATTATCATTGCTGTATTATAAGTTAGTTTTCCTTTCATGCAAATCTCTTTATTGAAGCACACGTTAAGGGACGTTGACCTGTGTTTAAGCTTAAGAGAAAAGATAAACATTCTCACTCTAAAGCTCAAAGAATGGACGTTTCATCAGAACAGCAGGGCAAAAGTGCATTTTGAACTGTGGTTTAGAGAAACTAAAGGTCATTATATATTGAGAGGTGGGGCATATGTTATCAAAAATGTTTTTTACTTATTTTTGAGTTTGAAGAATGTCAGAAATTCTCTTAATGTATTTAGAGAGAGTATCATTAAAAAGACTACAAAACGTACTGTTGGCCAGAGATAATTGAAAATGTAGATGGTAGTATAATGGCCAGTAAGGACCAAATATTATAGCAACTGCTCCTATTTTATGTGGCTTCGATACCTTCTTCATTTCTGTATAAGTGTTTTATGTTCTTGTTTAATTTTTTATAATCATCATATTATTGTAATGGGTATTCACAGTGGAGTAAATCGAATTCAAAGAACGTGTAATGAAGGAATAATAGGAATATTATGTTATATCCTCAGATATGATTTTAATGAACATCTCATTACAGGTATTTCAGCATGGATAACTGTCAACTTTTTGATAGGTAAGCTGTTCTTTATTATTAAATATTTGATTCCTTCTTTTTCATGACATCCTGAATAAGCTCTACATTACCTTAGTATTATAACAAAAACGTTGGAAACCTTTTAACTTTATTTTTTTTTCTTTTGATTTACTTGAATCGGAAACTGTTTGAATTAGCCACATTTGTCATCAGCTCTTTAATATCACTGTCATATATTTAACACTGTTCTAAGGCCTCACCAAACCCCTCGCAATGGTTTAAAACCACCAAGAGATCTTGTTCATTTCTTGGTGTCATATTTTCAGGAGACGAGTGTTAACTGACTTGGCTTTCTCAGGACACTAAACGCTGCGCTCGAACGGTCATCACCATAACCTTAAACCTTCAAGGGGACAGACTGGCTGACTAGACAGACACCCCTGTGGTGTTTGAATGTGAAACTATATCCGTTTGAGCCAGTGATTAAACTGCAGTCTTGTAAGTCTTATTTTCGTCTTGGCAACAGTAAGTGTTTTTTGACGAAGATGTTGTTATACTAACAAATATAAAGTGGTGAGCTGATATAACAAATGAGGGGGGAGGAGGTTTATTAATTAGGTTTTGTAGATGAACCAAAGTGCCCGACCCCTCTGTCGCGGTCTCCGCCCTGTCGGCACACGGGTCCAGCTGCCGGGAGGGCGTCGGGCCTGCGGTGCTCATCCGGTCGGTGCTGAGGTGAGCGGTGAGCGTCTGTGTCCCACAGGAAGCTTCCACAACCCCGAGAAGCGCACGGTGGGGATGCTGGATCTGGGAGGAGGCTCGACCCAGATCACCTTCTCCCCACGAGATGAGGCAAGTCCCATTCCGAGCAGAGCTGCTGAACGCGTGACCTGTCAGGGCACCTTCATATCAGTCCTTAAATATTCGATGAATCTAAAATTCTGACAACGTTTACCTTTGAGGCATTCTTATCAAAGTGGACCGGGCTTTAACAGGAGGATTCACAGGAGGAGTTCTGTGTCACCTTCCCAAGAGCCTACATGTAAAAAAAATACTGTGCGCTTCAAGTTAAAATTCATGAAAAGAATAGATCTTCATTTTCCTGCCGTGGTGTGGCATGTGTCTGTCAAGCTCAGATGTATTTGGAAGTTGGTAGTTGTGAGAAACAAGCTAGTGAGTGGAAAAACTGGTTGTTGTTTTTTTGGAGATTGGAGATACCTATAGAATCCTGCAGCTCAGCAGGTTAACAAATTGATGTACTCTTATTTCTCCCCAGAAAACAATCCAGACCTCTCCTGTTGGTTACATTACATCATTCCAGATGTTTAATAGCACCTATACACTCTACTCCCATAGGTAGGTGGCATTTCATCTTCAGAACTGGCTTTGTGAGTACAGAAGGGTACTGAGGAAAATACTGGGCTTTGAATAGAAAATATTAGATTTTGGAAGAACTTACAGACGTGGCAAAATGTGTATGTTAGTTACACTCACTGGCCACACTATTGGATAATTTCTGTCAAACGCACGGCGCTGATAGACAGGGTGGCTGTCCTAAGGAGCACAAGAAAAATTTCCATGTAACTTTCTTGACCAAAACAATCCTCAAGTATCAGTACTATTGGAAATTGATGGGAAATGCATTTCATTGCCTTAGACCATTACCCAAATCTCAACGTGTTGACAACACTCCTGCTGGAGGAAGTGTTTAATGGGGTCATGAGTATTTCACAGCCTTGTCGGGTAGGGTGACTGTCCCATTATAGCCCATGGTTTCCAGTTGGTTTTCCAATTTCTTAGGCTCAAATCCTCCTGCAAAAGCATAATTTTAAAACACAAGGTCATCTGCTGAAAAAAGTTCCCACACAATTGAGACCACTATGTCTATGGTTCTGAAATTCCCAAATTGATTTCTTTGATTTTTCTTTTGTAATTTCACTTTTGCTACTTATGCAAAGGGAGCCCATATAACCCATTAAATACACAGTCTAACAGCAAAGTACGGGCAAATTCTGATTTTAAAGTGTGTTCTCTATCGCCATATGTTTCAAAGTCACAGAACTTCCTTTCTTTCAGCTACTTGGGTTTAGGTTTAATGTCGGCAAGACTTGCGATTTTAGGAGGAACCGAAGGGCAACCCTGTGAGTATTTTGCTTAACCTTCCTCTGTTAAACACCCTTTAATGAGTAAATCGTTATGTTACCTTTTGATAGAAATATGAATTATTTGGTTGGGAGCTGTTGTTTATTTTATGTAGCTCTTTAAACAACATCCATCAAATGCTCTGAATCCAGATTTGAAGGTTGTTAAAATAGTTTTTACTCTGATTTTATATTACTGATGTTTGATATCTTTCAAGGCTCCCATGCTGGCTGACATTTCTTCAGTGTGCCAGCAGATGGCAGTAGTTTAGCTCTGCAGATTGCAATACTGCCAAAAGCCAGTAGCAGGACAAACACTTAAAATTGCATTTGTCTTCCCAAATGTTTTCTTCCTTTTGTCACATTTTGCAAGCTTTAATTGTTCATAAATCAAAGTATCAGACTTTAAATATGAAATTTAACTATTTCTATATACAGGAATACCTCATATGTCGGTACTTTCAGCACTGATTGGCAAGGATGTTGCAGCTCTATTTATACCAAGAATCAGTCCTGTTGCCTGATGCTTTGATGATATATATATATACTGTAAGGCAGCAGACAGCTGAAACTGTCTGGGAAGTGAATAGAAGGACACATTCCTGTTATTTCTTAGAAAGTTGGACATCGGTGTGCTCATCGAATCGAATGTAAAAATAGACTTATAACATGAGTCTTAAACTCACATCCTGCAGGATCTAGTAGTGTATTCTGATTTTTGTTCCATCCAAGATCTTGATTACCAATTTGTCTAATTATTTAACTGCATAATTGTAATACTATATTTTTAACCAAACTCTAAAGTTTTGTATTGGTAACTGTTCCTTCAATCAAGTTAATGTGTTTGGTGTGAGTGAAGTGTTATTTCATCTCTGACGCAGGGAAAAGTGTGGTGTGGACGGCCGAGGAGAGAATGCAGGCCCGCGCTGTGTCCATTATTCTTTTTCTCCTTCTTTCTTGGTCTGCTAGTTTTTTTATCAATAAAGTTTGATAATCGTCCATTGAAAGCCCTGTTTTCCTTTACATGAATGCCTAAAACCCTAAACCGAACCCAGGACTTAACAATAGGATTAACCATTGCGGTAGTTATTCCAGTGAACATTGATGTAATGTTAAAATAAGTAGTTTAATCAGTAGCACTGGTGACCCAGTACAGAGCCAGGCCTGACAGAGGACCAGGGGTGTTCGGGTTCTTAGCACTGAGCTTTACTGACAAAGTGATGTTTCAACAGTGGAGAAAGACCAGGAACTGGTGAGCCCTTGCTTGGCCCCAGGTTACAGAGGCCAGTGGGAACATGCTGAAGCTGTCTACACAGTGAGGGGTCAGAAGGCAGGTAGGCCGCATGGAACGACATGTGCTGCTAATGTCTGGTGTGTGCAGCACTGCTCCCGCTGAGATCCCATCCCGGTCATCCTGGACTGTCCCGGCCCTGAGCCACACAGCGGATATTGTATCACCCCAGTGGCCAGAAGGGCAGAATGAGCCTCCTTACATCCCACACATATTACTTCACGGGATGGAGCTTTGAGTTGTCCTCATGTATCCTTGTCCGATCACTTGCTGTGTTTTCTTCCATTGGTTTTTCACATTAAATAATAGTTTTCAGACCAAAACAAATGAAATATGGACAAAGAATTTTGAAAAGCACAGGAATGTATGCTGAGAATGAGCTAAGAATAGCTTTCACTTTTTCTATTCTGTTTCAGGAGAACCTATATATGAGTCTTGCCTCCAAAAAGTGGAGAAAATGCTCTATAGAAAAGTGAAAAAAGCAGAAGAGGCATCAAATATGGACTTCTATGCTTTTTCGTATTACTATGATAGAGCTGTGGACGTAGGTTTAATCGGTAAGTACAATGAATTTCAGTCCTTATTTTCTTGTAAGAACTGTTGCCCAAAAGATTTATGTAGAGCTATGAAGTCAAATCCTACAAGAATGTGAGGGAGCAAAATACCCAGACCATGAATTGAAGAACTTTTATATGTGCTATAAATGCCCTGATGAATAGAGATGAAAGTTCCTCCTGCTGCTTTTTTTTTTCTCTGGGCAGATGAAAAGACCGGAGGGAATATCAAGATGAATGATTATATCGAAGCAGCCAAAAGAGGTATGAAAGCAGTTACCATCTTCCTTTATTATGTATCTATTGCAGCTTTATTAATTTAAGGTTGGTTGTGGGGAATATTCTGTTAGATTGAGGAAAATGAATAATGCATGAAAGTGGCTCAAGACACCATTTTAAGAAAAATACACTGAAACCCAAATATTCTGAAGCCATGGGAAACTTTTCTCTCTTAACAATTCTGATGGGAACAAAACACTGTATTGCACCCTTCCAAAGGGATAGGGAGCAACATTAGAAATCAGAAATAGAAAATTAACGTTTTGGCTTTTGTCGTGGTCTTGCCTTTTCAGTGTGCAGTGGTATGGAAGTCACTGCCAGAGAAAATCCCTTCCTGTGCCTAGATCTGACTTACATATCCGTCCTGCTACAAGAGCTGGGGTTTTCCAAGGAAAACATTTTTAAGGTGAGGGCCAAAAAAAAGAGATGCGCTGAACAGTACGTGATAGAAATGCATCGCGCCCTGCCGAGTTAAACTCAGGGAAATGTGTGTTCACTTGCAGCTCGCGCGGAAGATTGACAACGTGGAGACCAGCTGGGCTCTAGGCGCTTCTTTCCAGTACACGGCTCAGTCTGTGGAGCGACTCAGAAGTGTGTGAGGACAGCGAGACTGTCTGGGAAGCTGAAGCCGGGAAATAATTGATTGTAATTCACATTATGGTACTTCATTAATAGGGTTCTTTGTGTTTGATGTTTATTTTGGTCCCATGACTCCACTGTGAAATAAGCTGATTTTTTCCCCAGTGAAGAACACTAGAAGTCGGCTAATTATTGTATATTGTGTTTTTCCACATCAGTGTCTCAAACAGTTCACAGGTGACAATAGTCACTTATCCCAGGGCCTGTTTAGCTTGAATCTCAAGCCAGCAGTTTCAGAGTTGAGATTAGAGTGTTTTCTTTTTTTATAATGGTTTTAACTGCCAGTTAAACAACACATGCGGACAAACGTTCTTTTCAGCAGAACGGAAGTCAATGTAGTGTAACATAATTACAAATACAGTGTTAATAATGAATCATTCTACATTCAGAGAGCACTGAAAACTTTCCATTCAATTGTGATACCGTAAAAACTTGATTATGATGCTTACCATTTAAAAAGATGTGGGCAGTTGGGAAAATAAGCACTGAGTACAGTCATATTAAAAATGTGAATGAGTACTGTATTTCCCGTGGCGTTTTGGGCATCATTGACATTATCGATTGTTTTTTAAATTCTACATATGCAAGTTCCAACTCATTAAACAGAGTGAAGGCTGTGAGGCTTTGAAATGTATTTTTACATGCTTGAGAAGGAAATGTATTAATGTATGTGGTATTTGAATGTATTGGGGAAATATACAGTAGTTAGTATGTCTGAAGTTGTACATACATGTCAGTTTCTGAAAACACAGAAGTTCAGATGTTTCCGTGGTCTCGGAGAGAGTGATCTCTTTGAGAAGGCCATTTGACCCTACTGGTTTGCTTGGTTGCTAGTAGTCTTCCAAGGATCTCCTTCAGGTGCTTCATGAAAGTCAAGGTGTCAGCTTTGAAAACATGGCTGGGTAGTGCGTTTTAGACTCCCACAACCCTTAGTGTAAAAAAGTGCCTCTTGTTCTCACTTCTAACTATATTTTTGCTCAGTTTACAGCTGTGCTCTCTGATGAGTGTTTTACCACTGGTTTTGAAGAGGTCTAGTGGGTTGAACATGTTGGTGCCCTTCAGTGTTTTCAGTACTTGAATCAGACTCCCTCTCTCTGCTCAAGTCTTGGAAGTAAGATGTATTGGTCTGTAACTACTTACGTTTGGTTTGTTTTTATGGACTGGCGGTAGCAATTTTCCTGTCAGTGGTTATTTCCCCTCTTGAGTGACTGTTCAGAGTTTTGTTTATAGATTATAAATTATTTGCTTAGGTACAATTGGTAAAATACCTTCAGGCCCTGTAAATATGTTTATCCTGTATTTATCTTATGACTGTAACACTTTTGCCTCTTTTATACTAATACAATTGTTATTTCTTTGCTTCTTTGCCTGATGCATGTTGTTGATTTCTTCCTTGGTGCCACATTATGTGAAATATTAAAATTAATATAAGCTATTTCTCTTTCATCATCTAAATGTTCATCTCTGAGATGCTTTACTTAAAACATTACTGTGCTGTTGTAGAACTGAAAAACATTTTGTTTTGACCTCATATGACTTATCTTGTCACTCTATTTGTAATGTTTTTTACCAGAAAATGTAAGTAATTGTTGTCTGATGTAATGAGTCTTACATGTGGCAGTATTTAAATGTCTGATTACTGTACATGTTGATAAAGCACTATTTTGAAACTGAAACTGAAACGTCTACTTTGCAGACCGTGAATATGAATAATAAATGCATTTTAAATGTAATGACAGTGCATTCTATCTGAAAGAAAATTAAAAGCTTACATTGTTTTGGGTGACTTTGGTTTGCTTTTTCAAATTAAACTTGCTAGATCAAAGCATGAAAACAACCAGCAGTGCTTGTGAAGTCATTTCAGAAAAGTCTCTGGGTTTTGAAGTTTACTAAAGCACCAACAGTAGGATGATTATGGTAGTGATGGTTGCAGTGACTGAAACAAAGCTAGTATTGGTCTGACTTAGGCAAAGATTTATTAGACAAAACAGTTGATATTGTGAAGCAGTGGTCTGTATTTCTGATCCTGCACAGCCACAGTCCCTCAATGGGCAGTGAACAGAGATGTGAAAAGCATGTTAATGTAAGAAGGATGAATAAAGAAACAGAGCCAGTTATTTCACTCAGAGCTTGCCTGCAATTTGAGTGTTAATATCTTATAAGGAACTTGATCAGAGGTCTTCTGAAACTTTAAATATACCATATAATATAGTCATGTTTACTGGTGTTGCTTGGTTAAAGAGTTTTAAAATCTAGAGTACCTGTATCATTCAGAATCCATAATATCTCAGCTGTACACCAGACAGCATTCTTGTTCCACACTTCCAAGACGTCTAATGATCTCCTGTAAGACTTACTGGTCTATTATTACTTAGACTGGATTCACCACCCTTTTTATGGACTGGCTGGAAGGGGGACTACAAGACGGTGCATCTCTCCAGGAGGAGCGCAGACAATCCCTTATTGTACAATATTTAAGAGCATCTATGAGTGCTTTTACAGTGACACAAACCTCATCACAAGTGGCAATAAGTTGCTCCTTGAGGAAACTGATCTGGAAGGACACACTGTCCATCTGACTATCAGCCTGCAAGGCTCCAGTCAGTGTAGGCCAGGGCTGGACATTCAGTTCTCCAAACTATTTGGATGAGGAACGTTGCCTGCGTTGATGTGCGAATCAGTTTTCGGTTTAGATCTACCTGTAAAACTGGGCTGCAAGGACTGCTGTTCCCCCACCCTGGTGTCAGCCTCTGCCATATAAAGACCCACCACAAAACTTGCGTGACTTCACACACCCTCCTATTCGCACATTCAGTGATGGATTAGGAGAGTGTTTTACAGCAACATACATATTTCTACACACTTCCATAATGGTTTGGGTCAGCTCTGCATTCTTAGTTGCCAGGGACAGCATAAATCAGTTAACTGCCAAGCAAAGAATTTTAATCAGCAGTTGAGACCCTCCAAAGCTGTGAACTCAGGTTCAGTAGGATAACTCTGCTTGTACGAGGGGTACACTCATCCTGCTTGAGTCCTTTTTCTCCCCTCTTTCACGTTCCCAAGGTGGGAAAGGAACATCATTACTACGGTGCTGATGTTACATGTAAGGGATTTTTAACAAATAGTATTAGGATGACAACGTTAAATATAAAAACAATAATCTACATACCAGTCACTGCCAATACTTAGCTCTATATTCAAGGCCAGTAGTCACAAGGGCTTTGACACTTCAGAACACTTTCACCGATGGTGTAAAGAAATTGTTTATTACATCCAGTTAATGCAGACACTTATTACCTTCATTAAAAAAAAGTGTAGAAGACACTTTGTGAAGGTGAGTTTTTAGCACTTCTACAGTCTGCCAACTGTACTCAACCAAGTTTGAAGGAGAGGTGGTGAAGCACTACCACCCAAAGCTGAACTCAATGGTGGGTGAGCATGATCTTAAAACCTACATCTCACCCGAAATTGTGAAAATGCTTTATTTCAAATTTTAAAAAATACTTATTTAAAAGCTCAAACGGCTGAATCAGTTTCCCCAGTGGAATCGTACTCTTAATTTTTCAGTCAAGATCTGCAAGGACAGCGATCCTCACAGGAAGGCATCACACCACTCCTTCAAACACTGATAACAGGACGTTGCTTGTCTGTTGTTGGCGCCACACGCATCCTTGAGCCAGTCTGTGAAGAGCTCGCCATCCTTCCTCAGCACAAGGAACTGCCCCAAGACCACGAAAGCCTAGGAGAGACATCAGGACTTCTCCTTACACGCCCAAATCATGGAAGCACACATTAACGGTCACACAATAGTTCATGCTTGCAAGCGAGTACTTTTAGCCCAACTATGTGGACCGTTGATACAATCCCTTATAGGTGTTCCACCGCTAGCTTTGCCTTACTTTATCAAACCCTTGCTCTTCCAGTTTCCGTCCCAGGACTTCACCGATTCCCGAGAGGGCGGTCACGGGCTTGTCCCCCATGGGCTCGGCGATGAAGCTCCTGTGCTTCTGGGAGGTGGAGGACATGTCTTCAAGCACACACAGGCTGCACAACAAGAGAACAGCTGGAGATTTCTACCGAGGGGCAGACTCTCATCAAGACAGAAAGGCCCTCACTGGAGGACACATATGGATTACCTCTACAGATAAGAAAGCACCAAAAATGTCCATTTGCAACATTGAGCCTCCAAGATAGCTTTAATTCGCATTCCAAGTCTTTGGCTGCTAACTCAGCAGGAGCAAACTGCATTTCTCCCGTTTTCAGGTCAAAGGCTTTAGCATTCAGACACATATTCAGCATGACAAGCATAAAGACAAACCATGCCTAAAGAATAAAAGTTCTCTTTTAAAAAACGGAATACAAGACGCCTGCCACGGGCTGCACCAAAATGCCGAGGCTGTAGCTCGTGGACTCCCAGTACAGTACTTCACCACCCAGCTCTTCCGAAGATTTCGCTGGATGGCTGGCGTTCCACGTGGATTCCTACATTGTTCTGCAGGGTTAAATATTACACAGCGCGGTTACAAATCCTGGAGCATCTCTTACCTTTTTTTTTTCTTCTAAGTTTCTCCGCTAGTGTGACGGGAAATCGAACCACGTTCAAGTGTCCTAAAGGCTGTCCCTCCCTCTCAGGGTCCATCTTTTATCGGGACATGTGACCCCCAAAATTAGATCACCTGATTAGTGTTTTTTTTTTCCCCACCCGGCCCTCATTGGTTGCGAAGAGATGTGTATATTTACTTGAACGCACTTAAAAAAAAATACACCATTTATCACATCATCAGAAAGGACTGTTTAATCATACAAACTAATCCGAAGCGGGGCACACATGCGCAGATGGGTCAGGTTAAGTTATGCGTATGCATATGGTGAAAAGCAATGCAAAAAAAGAGTATCATTATCATTCATATTTCAGTGGCCCCTCATTTAGTTTGACGTGGTCGGTCAGCATCAGTGGTCTGATAGATAATACCAGCAGGTGCTGCACTCCGTACACGAGCTCGCGGCCGGCTCGCGCAGGACGGGAGAAACCTGAAGGAGCGCGGCGCGCGCCGCCCCTTTAAATGCCGAGAGGGCCCGGCTGAGCGTGACGTCACTGGGCCGAGCGGTCCCCCCCCCTCCCCGCCCCGTCCTCTGCGTCAGCGGCTGCTCGCCCGTCCTCCTCGCACTGTCAGGCGAGACATCCTGCAGGACAGCCGGACCTTCCCTGAAGCCCGCCGTCGTGTTGCTTCACGCCCCGTTGTCTTCTTCCATCCCCCCTCCCAAAAAACAAAGGAGCCGCTGACAACGTTAAAAATAAAATTAAAACAAAAACAAAAACAAGCGAACCATGACCGCGCCGCTGACGGACAGCGAGAAGAGGAAACAGATCAGCGTGAGAGGCATCGCAGAGGTCGGGGATGTCTCGGAGATCAAGAAGAGCTTCAACAGGCACCTCCACTTCACCCTCGTCAAGGACCGCAATGTGGCGACCCCCCGGGACTACTACTTCGCCCTGGCTCACACAGTGAGGGACCACCTGGTGGGGCGGTGGATTCGCACGCAGCAGTATTATTACGAGAAAGACCCCAAGGTAAAGCGCTCTTCTGCAAATGGCAGGAAGTCAGCTGTCAAAGCCCACCTTTCCTAGTGAAGCTGGTGATTTTTGCACGACAGACTCGTTTGTGCACGGAGACCGTTGCGTGTCGGGTGCAGCGAGCGCCGTTTCCTCACGCAGTCTTTGCACTGGGGGAGCACCAAGTCAGCACCCTGCAATTGACGCCCTCGGGCAATTGCGATGGTGCAGAATTCTGTTTTGGGGCTGATCGATTTGTGCGTTTGTGCACGATGGAAAATAACGATTTTGTGAACAGACATGAAAAAGTGGGCGGTCGTGAAACAGTTTTCTACGACGGGAGAGTTCTTGGGAGATTTTAAATGCGAGCAGACCACATAATTGGCTTGGTATTGCTTGTTATACGAGTCAAATTAATTCTCTTCCTGTTCCCCCAAGGTCAGGAAGGACGTGATCACATCACTGACAGTCTGGCTTGAACAAATCGCGTTCCTCTGTTTCTTTCGGTGAAGAATGTTTTTTTTTACATGTCCTGCGGTAACTCTTATTTTCATTTGTTTTTCTGATTGCAAACAGTATTTTAGACCAACCTTCATGAATTAGACGAAGCGATGTGCCGTTCCAAGTTATCACTGAATTACACGTTACTTCCCCCAGAATAAAAGGTTGTCTCTTCATTATTTTCCACATGAATTATTGTGCAGGTGCGATTCTGAGGTACAGTGTGGGGCTGTGCTGATACTGGATTATCTGGGTAATCCAGACTAATGTTCTCTGCTTCCAAGACTGCCACTTCTCAGCCATCGTCATGTCTCGCTGATACACTCGAGAGCAGAATGCCACTGCTGGAGACCAGTCCTTTTCTGGAAAACATCATCTCCTTATCTCCTCAGCTGGGAGGACTGGAGTTCTGCGAACTGCACGTACACATCTTTCACCCACTCTGTTCCCTGAATGACGGTATTATCCCTTTCGTCGAATGACCAGTTCGTCTTTAATCATCTGGCCCTTCCTTGACGAGGCAGGTGCCGCCTCAGAGCTGTGGTCTTAGCAGGGAGAAATCTTCTTGTGCAGTATTTGTCGGTGTTAGGGGGAATCTGCCTGGTTTAATTACTGTCTGAGAATCCCTCGAGCCCAGGTTTACACGCATTCTCTAAATCCAGCCGAAGTCGTGGTCCGCGTGCTCCTCACAAACGTACAGGAATCCAGTAGGTCTGACTGTGGAAAAAACATCCGGGAGGAGTCTAGGGCTGCACTGTGTGGTTGTTTTGGTTGTCCAAAAGGCACACAAGAAAACAACAGTGGCTGCAGTGTGTGCCAGAACTGCAGTGCATCAGTGCCAGTGACCAAAGAGTCTGTGATTCGCCCTTCACAGGACGGGTCTGCATTGTAGCGGGCGCTATGCTCACATATAAGGACTTGTTTTGAAAATTGCCTTCTCGATCTTTTTAAAATATCACACGGGCTCAGGAAGTTTCCATGGATGTTAGCCAACAATCCCTGGGTTTCCTTTGGATCAGTTCAGCCCAGGGACCTTAGATGGCACAAGCAGTGTGTATCTATACCCCACAGAGATCCACCAGCCTGTTAGCTGTTTTGAACCAGTGACAGGACAAGGGCTGCCAGTTCCCTGTCACTGGGGCTTACCGGGGTTCTGAGAGGCCTCTGTGTGCGCTAACTGAAGGTGACAGTGCAGATAAGAACTCTCACCTCTTATCCCAACACACTGGGTTCTTTGTGTCGAGCCATCATGACCTCAGTGTCTGGCACGCAGCCATTGGGAAACCAGCAAATGGAAGAACCTGTGTTTTGTGCAGAACCACCAGCCTCAGACTGTGGACTCCAGGCTCAGAGCCTAAACCTTTGAGCTCTGGTGCAGGTCACTGGCCCGAGCCAGGGAATCATTGGCAGACCGCGCTTATTATTTCCTCTCTGCCTGCATGAAGAGTTCCTAAGAATGTGTAATACCTCCGTTTTTAATCAGCTCGCTACTGCAGGTGCAAAGCCAGCCACTTTTCATTGTATCACTTGCGAAAGTGCCAGGCGTCTCACAAAACATTTGAGCAATAGATATTTCTCCTTATTTTAGGATCAAGGCCGTGTATTTTTTTATTGTTTAGCGGAAGTTAATGTTCGTGATTCATGCACATTGTATATACATAGACATTAAAAATGAAACAAGTATTGTTGTTTCTGATATTCATGTATTGCAGTTCCTCTGGGCTGTATGGTTATGTTACATTTTATACTTTCTTCTAAAATACACTTATAGTTTTTGTTATATGCTAATAATTCACATGATTTGTGACTTGCATACAAATAGTTGTTCATCTCAAAACGTTAACTGTACCAGTAATGGTCTAACGCGCATGTCATGATCCATTTCCCGAATAGCTGATACTGTATAGCAGTAGAAATGTTCCCAGTGTTTGTCTTAATGGCGATTTTTCAAGTCATGTTTCATCAGCAGGAGGAGACGGGTTGATCGATTTTTAGATGAAAGATGTTCAAGGAAGGTTAGCCAAATGAAGAAACTTTCTAATGGGGTTATTGATCTTGAAATGAACCAAGATCCTGCCACAAATGCAGTAAAAGGGCTAAAGAAAATACAATGGTCATTGTTTCTTTGTAGTGGAACTTCATAAAAACGAATTGCAACACAGCTCAAGCACTTCATGTTCCACTTTGTTTATTTTACACTGCGGTTCAGCAGGAGGATTATTTTAGTGCTGAAGGGTGTGTTTCTTGTGCACAGGTAGGAAAGGCAAAAGCATTTCTGACAAGGGGTTGATGAACAGAGATGGATCAGGACAGGTTCAGAGAGACCAGTCTATTCCCAACACTTCCACACACATTTGAGGTTGTGAAATCCATATATAGCCGTTATTCTGTGTTGTAACTGTCAGCCCTCCAGTTTCCTAGTTGGTCTTCTGCCGAAGGTGAAATCTGTCATTACCTTTGAAATAAACATTCATTGCAAGTTTCTGTTTACTAACACCATCCATCACTGGTAATGTGATTTTCTGAATCACAGACACCGAATGACGTTAATTGTGGTTCTACCTATTATCTTGCAGTTCTCACTGTTGTAGCCTTTAGTGTCTTTTAACATTTATGGATCCTGGCCCTGTCTAATTACGTCGTTAGGGGAATCCTTTAAAAGAAGAATTTATCTGAGTTCAGTCTCCAGTTCCAAACATAAAGACCTTCAAAATGGATTATAAGAAAATCATACCAGTGATTTTTCTGTCCATGAAACAGGAGGGCCAGTTTTAACCAAGCGTTCTGTGGGTGAATTCTGAGAGGTTGGATCTTTTTCAAGTCTTATTTTGCCCTTTGAGATGTCCGAAGGTTTGCTATCATGGTCATATGGGCAACAGGTACGACTGCTGAGGTAGACCGGTACGTTCCAGTCCTTGTTGATCTGAGTGCCAGAGTCGGCTCACATGCAGACTGTTGCTCAAACAGTATGCGTATAGTGTGAGCAGAGGAAAGATGGTTTTGTTTTGGCATTAGGTTAGCTGCAAAAAGTATTATTTAATCCAACTGAAATATATTTGATCGATCTAGGCAGTTATATCAATAAGTATTCAGGTTACCTCCTTAAAATGGGTGTTCTTCCTGGACCACGGAGCAGATAGTGCAGTAGTTATAAACATGCGCAGCTGTGTGACACTGTGACTGAGTAGACCCAACTTTGACATTTCTCCAAGGGAATGATTTCTGTAGACAAAACGTCTGTTTTGAAATCCAGCAGCTCGGGAACTAGTGTGTGCTGAGAGAAAGTGCCACAGTGACTGAATTTTGCATCATTATCTGTGTAGAAATATCTATGCTTCAGACTTCCTACTTGTTAGTAGCTTCCCTGATGAAAACCTGCAAAGTAAAATGAAATGACATGGCTGAATTGCTTTGCCCTGTGTACCGCAGAACCATATTAATATCCTCCACCTCGCATCAGATAAAGTAAAATGTATCTGTAAAATGTTGTTATGCAACGCAGATTCATCATATCAGTGCTGTACTGTACATCAGATGCCTTGTTTTGGTCTTGCAGAGAATCCACTACCTGTCTCTGGAATTCTACATGGGCCGGACGCTGCAGAACACCATGATAAACCTGGGCCTGCAGGGTGCCTGTGATGAAGCCATCTACCAGGTAACGATGCATCTGACGCTTGTCGACCGCCCTGTGTGGGCTAGCTCTTGTTCCCGACCGCCACTGCGGACTCCTGATTTCAGGTGCTTTCCTCCCAGATAGCTGGTGAACGGCTCTGGGTTTTAAATCCCTACTCCTTCCGAAATCACAGACACAAGGAGACTTCAGACACACAATTAAATTCCTGCTAAGAAACCTTTTGTCCCCGTAGAAACAAAGCTTGGTGTCCTTTTACGTTTTATTAGATAAATATTTTATCATGTCTGCTCACGTATTCAAGGTATACAGCCTGGGGTGCCCTTCGTCGCTGCTCCGAAGAGCTTAATGCCCTTGTCAGTGGTTGTGTGAGGGCCGTTGTGTTAGACTGACATCACCTTCACTCACACTTGCCTTTAACCAGCATTAATGAGCAATAAACCTCACCTAAAATACAAAGTTGTTTGCCTTAAGATTACATTGTTACAGGTGGGCTTTTAAAATCTTTTTTCAGTCTTCCTGTTAAAAAAACCTTTGGAAAACTCCATATAGATAATAAGGAATTACTGGTATACATGAACAGAAGTGCTACAAAGCCAGCCAGTCTAAGGTATTTGAACAATGATAAACACACACTTCTCCTTGAGAAATGGTGAAACTTGGAAAAGAGTTCTTTTTCCTTGTCAAACAAAAAGCAATTGTTTCTGAAGCAGGAATAATCTTGAACTCTGCTGTTATACTGGTTTCTGGAGACTTTTTACACAGATATTTTAGACTTTATAAACAGGCTTTATAATAATCAAAGGTGGGGCAAACAACTTGCTGTAGTACAGTATTCTGACATTGTTGCATTTTCTTTTGGAGATAAAATAGTATAAAAGGTTGGTACAGTATTTCTGTACACCTGTTACAAGTTAATTTAATCTACATCCCCACTGCATTGGTTTAGTAGTTAATAAGTGAGGAATCCCAGAAGGCGTTGTGTTAGTGTTTTACAAGCATGTACAGAGAGCACAATAAAGATGAAAATTTCTCACCGTAAGTCTTGCAGAGTACAGCTCTGTGTCTAATGTTGCTGGGAAACTGACCCTTTTATGCAAATGTGTGGGGAAACGTGGACGGCAGCCTATTGCCTTGCACTACTAGGCAAACTAGAGGAAGGCGTGAGCTTTTGTGTTTGTACAGTGTAAGCTCAGAGCTGCTCACAGCTAAATTCCTGTTAGCGATGCAGCAAGCACAGATCCTTTGTGTTGTGAAACCGATAACCCTTGTTTCTGGTTTATATTGTATATGTAAGTCTGTATATGAAAACATATTTCTAAACCATTTTGTTTCTGTAATGATATTTTTACTAAGAATTAGCAATGTGAATGAACTGAGATGTATTAATGATAGTTCACAATTTACCACAGAAAGAGACAATTGATATACTGATTGTGCGATTTGTATGATCTGGAAATCTAAAAATGAATGCTTTTTGCTTTATTTGAGAAGGTTCAAGTTTATTGTTTACGCTTATTGTTAGATGAATTCACAAGAATGTTGTTTTAATTTTTGGGTTTATTCAGCTAAGAACACAAATGATTTCACCATAGTAGTGACACATGATTTTTTTGACTATCCAATTTGAAAAGATCCCTGCAAAATATGATCTAACCCGTTGCGTCTAATGATCAATATGTATTAAACCGAAAAGCCTGCTGTGAAATATTAATAGTGTGAATATTAAGGGTCACATTTTTCTGTGGAGTTTTTCATCATATTTACTAATTATTATGGTTTTATTTGGCTTGGTCAAGTTTTCTTATGGTTTCATGGCGGCCGGCAGTTTCTAGCATATGCCTTAACTACATACATGTAAATGGGCTCTGCCAGTTCATAGGTGGGGAAGAGTTTTATTTGTCAGAGTCGTCCCTTCAGACGTCTGCCACTGCATTGTGAGGTTTTGGATGGCCTCGTGATGATGGTGTTGGCTCAGCCCTGGACAGCTTCCTGCCTCAGCCGGTGTCCTCCTTTCCATCCAGACGGGGAGAACGCAGACCGTGCGAGACACTGGCTGTGAGGTCACACTTCAGCACGGACTCTTTGACACGCTGAGCCCTCCCCACGCTGGGGCATGGCCAGAGCCCTCGCCTCTCTTGAAACGTCTTTGGTGGGAAATTCACAGATTTGCACTTCTTACAGGCTTGCTCTCGCGTGTGTGGGTCTGTCCGGGCTCCCTGTCTTTTCCGTGTCTTAATCTCTTGGTCTCCCTCCGGTCTGTATAGCGCCCATCACGCCTGTGCCCTTTGTTCTGTGTCTTTCCCACCGCCAGCTGGGCCTGGACCTGGAGGAGCTGGAGGAAATCGAAGAGGACGCTGGGCTGGGCAATGGAGGACTGGGCCGGCTGGCAGGTGAGGGGGCGTCTTCACCTCGCAGCAAGTCTTTTTATGCACTGTTCTGTTCCTCACATGCCTCGCTGTTGCAGTTAGAGAAGAACTCTTTCCATACCTCGCTGGGCAGAATGATAACAAAAATAGAATATCAGGAAGCAAAGAGGAGAATTCCCCAAAGAAAATGGCGAAATGTGAACAAATAGCCATAGTTTTGGTAACTTTACCATCAGAGGTTAATAACTTGTTAACTAGATGTTCTAGCTGCCTCAGAGACGGAAGTCCATAGATTGTTAAAGGAAAGAACTCTGTGTTGTTGACTTTATTTTTTAACAGTACTAGCACAAATGTGCAGGCACAGCAGAAGGATCTTTTCTGGTTAAAAGCTGTCATGTAGATGGATATTACACATTTAGTTTTGCTTTGAGTGCCATTTTCTCAATTACAATGCTACTTAATGTTGCAGTGAGCAGTTGTTGGCTTTCTGTGACCTTATCCTGGCCAGGAAAGAGGGTGTCACCAAAATGGACTGAAATTGAAAACGGAACACTTTCATTTTAATGCCTAGTAATGAAAAGAACTGTATGAAAGATTGATGAAGCGCAAAGCTTGTGTTACTGACATTTCCGATGAGAAACAATATTTTGTTTCCACCTCATTGTTGGGAAAATACTGTCACATTTGAAGTTCAAAAAGCAGGGAATTCAGGTTTGTATCCATTTCAAAAAGTAAACCCCTTCATCTGAAAACTGCTCAGCATGTTTATGTTTTTAATGAAATCTTTTCCTGATATATGTGAGAATAGTTTTCTGACATCTAGTCAGTCGTTCGTTTGATGTTTTTTTCAAGCTTGCTTCTTGGACTCCATGGCAACGTTGGGCCTAGCAGCCTACGGTTATGGAATCCGATACGAGTTTGGTATTTTCAACCAGAAGGTCGCAAATGGATGGCAAGTAAGTTATGGAAGAACCAGCACAAATGTTCTGACAGAAAGAACTGGTTTAAAGTTTTGCCTGTCTGGACAGCTGCCCAGTGTACTGGACTCAACCTATTTTGGGCTCTGTTGAATTATCCTGTTAAGTTTGGAGATACAGCCATATTCAAAGAAGGTTTTTAATTAAATCCATTTTACTTTATTTTAGGATTCATACTTCCGATAGTTAAAAGTGTGGAATGTGATTTTATTGCCTTGGTAACATAACCCTGAATGGTGGATTCTTGAATCAAATTGATTTAAAAAAACTGCAAAAAGTAGACATAAGGAATAGGAAAACTGGAAAAAAACAGTTTTCCTGAAAAAAGAAAACCATTGTTATAATAAAAATGTAGCTTCCAGTGTAGTATTAAATCACCTATTTATCAACTCATCTTGGGTGTCAAAATATAACAACATAAAATCAGAGATTTTATCCATTTTCTTTTCAGAAACGTACAAACAGGCCTAATGTGACCACAAGTCACTTTGATCTGAGTTGAATTTTCAGTGGTCTGTTGTATGAGGGTGTGTGTGTTTGTGTCTGTGTGTGCCCTGCGTTAGACTGGTGTCCCATCCAGGGTGTGATCTGTGTCTGTGTGTGCCCTGCGATAGAC